GACATGGATTATATTCTTCATGTTATACAGCCTTTATTGTGATCCTTTTACAAATTATTCCAGCACCATCAACATAAACTCAGTGTCCCCTAAACAAAAGCTCCCCCTTTCCCCTCCCTCTCACTGCTGATAACCACCAGTAATCTGGCTTCTATCTACCGTCAAACCTGGGAGAGCCAGATCCTGTGTAAGGTGGAAACCTATCAGAGAAGGAAAACAAATACTTTCCACTAACAGAGAGTCAAAGAAAAGTGGTGAGATCGCACCCTATCAAAGCTGGAAAACGCGCTAGACCTGCGGACACAGGCCATCTCATTGAGTTCAGCTCTCCCAGGGGTCACTGTACTTGTTTTCGTATAAGTGGGATTGAACAGTGTCTGTCCTTTTGCAACTGACCTACTTCCCTCAGCAGGATGTTTTCAAGGTTCATCCATGCGGGGGCATGCATCAGGACTTCATTTCTCTTTAGGGCTGAGCAGTATTCCATTGTGTGTCTAGACCACATGCTGTCCATAGAGGACACATTTCAGAGGGATGATCAGATGCCACAGAGAGCTCTGTAAGACTGACATTTTTTTTTTTTTTTTAATTGTTTGGGTCTGTCATAATCTAGTGGTAGAAAGGTGAGATGGTAGCAAGATCTGAAGGGTTCAGGAGGCAGTGAGAGACGAGGAGATGGGGCAGGGGTGTAGAACTGGCACTTGGGGGAGTGAGGTTGTGAGAAGCAGGGGATTTGGAAAAGACTGCGCAGAGAGGCAGACTCAGAGACGGCGTCTTCACCAGAAGGGAGAGTGGCCCATCGGAGGGAGGAATCAGAGGGCCCTTGCTGGCACGAGAAATTCAGGAGCTCAACCAGCAGGGGCATGAGGGCTGGAGGTGCCACAGGACGCCACAGTCGCTCCAGCGCTTGAGCCAGCAAAGCACTATCGAGAAGCCAAGTGTGCTGAGCCCTGGACTAGGCCTGTCTCTTTGAATGATTTTATTTCTCTTGTGTTCCCTTTTCCCCAGGAAACATGGTAGAATGGTGCTTACCTCAAGATGTCGACCTCGAAGGGGTTGAGTTCAAATCCATGGCCAGTGGGTCTCATAAGATCCAGTCTGACTTCATGTGAGTACTTCTGGATGAAGTCTTCTCTGCACCATGCTCTCCCCTGCACCTTCCCCCAGGCTTCTGGCTGATGACATGTGTGTTGTGGCGTGGCTCTAACAAAACATGTGTGCTGGCGTGACTCTGACAACACACGTGCAGTGGTGTGTGCACACAGGCTTTTCCATCAAGAAGCCTTCTGCCAGGTTCTCAGTGGGTTTCACGACCCCTAAATGTTAAGAGCACAGATGTTCTCTCACCTTCTAAGAAAGGAAATGGCACTCACTAGAGGTTGGCTTTAATAGCTTTAATGGAAGGATGGAGTTTTGGCTCAGTCTGGGTTAACTTGAGACATTTTTGTGCTTAAACTTGAAATCTCCCTTTAGGTAATGCCAGTTTATGATTCTGTGTGGGGACATTGATTTTGGAGAGACAGATGAAAGAACTTAAAGGTAGTTTACTCTTATCAGCGGGCTGAAACCATGACTGCCACAAGGGGAGAAAAGGGGAAGGAAATGACCTGGCATTGACCACGTGTCCTCCTGAGAGGAGCAGAGACTCAGAACATGGGGGGAAATGCACACAGCTTATGTAATAAAAGAGTCTAGATTGGATGGGCCTAAAGATAAGCCTTTATTCTTGTTCTCTATCCAAGTCACTAGCCCTGGTGCAGGAGAGAAGGGATGGTCCACGGTCCAGGGCAGTTGAGCAGCAAGCCCTCAGGGACTAAGTCCTGGCCCCAGAGAGATGATCTTGGCACATCTGTGATCCTGGGCCTTGATTGTCTCATCAATGAGGTTGAATGGCTCAATGGCATCACTAGGGAGAAAATAATGGGGTATGGACTGCACCAAGTGACACTGGTGTCAGAGGGCATGACACCTAAATGACTGTCTATAAAACTTTTGTGCAGTATTGCAGCAGAAATTTATTATTTTTTATAAAAATATTCCGGTTGTTGTTGTTAGTTGCTGTTGAGTCAGTCTGGACTCACAGTGACGCTGGTACAACAGAACAAAACACTCCTGGGCCAGGGCCATCCTCACAATCACTACCAGGCTTGAACCCATCTTTGGAGCCACCATGTCAATCCAGCCCATTGAGGGTCTTCTCTTTTTGGACTGACCCTTTACTTTACCAAGCATGATATTCTCCTCCAGGGACTGGTCCCTTCTGACAACATGACCTAAGTATGAGAGACAAAGTCTGGCCATTTTCTAGGTGTATGGATATTATCCTATCACTGGCAGCATTGTACTTCAGGACAGATCTTGAAATGTTCTTTTTTGATCATGAACACAGTGCATTGGTCTTCAATTCGTCATTCCCAGCATGGTACAGCATCTGACTGTTAGACTCACAGTGGCCAGTACCAATCCATCTCAGCTCACTAATGCCTAGGATGTCAAGCTTTATGCGTTCCATTTCATTTTGGACAACGTCAAACTTTCCTAGAGTCATACTTCATACGTTCCATGTTCTGATTATTAATGGATATTCGCAGCTGTTTCTTCCTGTTTTAAGTCATGCCACATCAGCAAATGGAGGTCCTGAAAGCTTTACTCCATCCATGTCATTAAAGTCGACTCTACTTTGAGGAGGCAACTCTTCCCCAGTTGTATTTTAAATGTCTTCCAACCTGAGGGGCTCAGCTTCCAGTATCACAGCAACACGTAAGCCACCACAGTATGACACAAGTGGTGGAAGCATCCCTGTCGTTGGTTGTAACAACGAAAACATTTTCTGTGAGCCCAGTTTACCTGGATCAATATAACTAACCAAACCAAACCAAACTCACTGCAATCGAGTTGGATCTGACTCATAGTGACCCCTCCTTGGGTTTCTGAGATGGTATCACCACAGAAGTGGATTGCCCAATCTTCCTTCCGAGGAGTGGAGAGTGGGTTTGAACCGCCAACCTTCTGGTTAGCAGTCAAGTGCCTTAGGCACTACGCCACCAGGGCTCCTTCAACACAACTAGCAGGCTGAAACTCTATGCCAATTTACTTGCTGGACCGTCTAATGTGCTCTGGTCAGAGCTGTCATTGTTACCCAATCACAGCGAAGCTTCGAATCACAGGGTTTCGTCTGCATGCATTACAAGCACACACTTTGTTTTTGTTGCTGCTGGTGTTTTTATAGGAACTAATTTTGTTCAATTTTCTGGTGTTTCAGCTACAATGTTGTGGTAAGTTGTATTTGTGAGCCTGTATCCATACCGTTTTTGAGAATGAAGAAGTAATTAAAGGAAAAGGAGAAAAATTAAAAGCATGCTTCTGCTCAGTTACTAATAATGTTGTAATTCAATGCAGAAAGATTTTACAAAATAATTGTGTTGTTAGTATTCATATCATCTAAGAAATATTACATTTAAGCAGTTGACAACTATATTTATTGCATATTATTCTATGGTTAAAATCGATAATAAATATTAGTAAGGATTCAGTATGGTCTGGGACGAGAGGAGGTCCACAGGTAGGTGGGGATAGTGACAGCAACCCTAGTAACACCACTGGAGCGGCTTGGACTAAATGCCCCCTGAAGTTCCTAAGAAGTTGGCTTCAAGGCTGAGCTTTGTCATTTGGAGTCCTGGACCCAGTGAATTCACTGGGTCTGTGACTGCACCTCATAGACATTAACCACACTTCTCTCTCTGACTCTGAACCACACTGTTTCGGTCCCTTTCAGCTATTTCCGCAAGGGCCCCTTCTTTGGCCTGGCCTGCTTCGCCAACATGCCGGTGGAGAGCGAGCTGGAGCGCGGCGCCCGCATGAAGTCTGTGGGCATCCTGTCTCCCTCCTACACCCTGCTGTACCGCTACATGCATTTCCTGGAGAACCAAGTTCGGTATGTGGCTGGCGTTTACAGATGGCCACTGGCTATTTTGCTCACTATTTAACTATGTCACTTTCCTGGGCTTTTGGGATGTTCCTTTTTTTTTTTTTCACCACTGTCAACATAAGCATCTCTGAGGGGAAATGACTGTGGCATCCATAGAAACTGCTCTGGGCCACATTCCTAGAACTGGAGCCTTGGCCACAGGGTATCCTTAAGGTACCATTGGACAGGAATTGCAAGGTACCTTTCAGAGAGTGGGTGCCATTTTGTGTGCACCCCAGCAGTAAGTGGGAGCTCCTTAGTGTCCTCTTCCCAGACAATATTACCTGGTTGACAGCTGTTACCTTCACGACGGGCCATTTCAAGCCCTGAGTTAGGTCTCTTCTTTTCCCGCACTTGGAGTCCGGTCCCCCCATTTTCTCCTGGCACTCACTCACCATCCAGAGGATGCATGGATTGGGAGCCCATCTCCATGTGTAACTCCCCCTTCCCCTCCCCCTTCTCCTCTCCCCTGATCGCCAGCATTTTCTAAGGACTCACTGTTCTTGAGTCATTTTCTGTCTCTTTGTCTGGTCTGATCCTTCCCAGTGAAGAAGGAGTGGTGATTCATCATTGGCAGGACTTGGTAGGGAGTGCAGGGGGGTCACGGTGGCCATCAGCATGGTCACTGTCTCACTTTCCCATGGCTGCTGTAGCAAAATACCACAAGGTGGTGACTTATAAGAATAGAGACTCATTCTCTCACCCTTCCGGAAGCTGGAAGCCCAAATCCAGGCTGGCAGCTAGGCCGCGCTGTCTCCAAAGGCTCTAGGAGAAGACCTTCCTTGTCTTCCCGGCTTCTGGGGGCCCCAGGGATCCTTGGTTTGTAGTTGCTTCTCCACATGTCCTCCTTCCTCTGTCTGTCTGTCCCTTCTCTTTTATAAGGACCACACCTTATTCTAGCATGACCTCACATGAATCGCTAACATCTTCAAAGACCCTATTTCAAAAAATGGTCACTTTCACGGGTACAGGGTCAGGGCTTCAACATAAATGTTTGGGGAATGTAAGTCAGTCCCTAACAGTCACATATGCCTGGGTCCATCCACGAAAGGGCTGTGGGCTTAAGGAGAAGCCCTGTGTCTCTGGTCCTGCAGGGGAGTCTTGATGTGGATTCAGATCAGTAGCAGGTATTGAACTGGTTATTCTCTAGCTCTTACAATGTCACGTCTCTCGGAGAATCTCTGTAGATGATGTGTGTGGCATACAAGGCCGAGGGGTCATTTCTCGATCCATGCATCCTTTCCGGTGACAGCACCAGGAAAGTCTCCTTTCACATCACCTGTAAACCCCACTCACCTTCCAGGAGCCTCAGCCTCATTTCAATACTTCTCAGTTTATCTCGGCATTGTGGTCTGATGGTCAACTTGTGTTTACTGCAAAATATGCAGTCTGTTGAGGCCTTCATGCAACAGTTGTTTGTTGTTGTTCTTGTTGTTATGTGCTGTCGAGACGGACCCGACTCATAGCGACCCCTCCTTGGCTTTCCGAGGCAGTATCACTATGGAAGTAAATTGACCAACCTTCCTTCTGAGGAGTGGCTGGTGGGTTTGAACCACCAGCCTTCTGGTTAGCAGTCAAGTGCCTTAGGCACTATGCTACCAGAGCTCCTAACAGTTGTTTAACATTTATTATTATTATTAACCCAGGCTCTGTCCACATATATGTTCATACCGTACATTCCATTATTGCCTTGCTCTGGGCTCTCAGTCAGGCTGTACTGAAGGCCATCAAAGACAGGGTCCTGAGACTAGCTGTCTGTCCAAGAGGCTCTAACTTAGTAGTTTGATATTCTTTAGAAATCTTGGTTCAAGTATCAAGTTTGATGTAATCAAGCAGAAAAGACAACTGAGCCAAAAATAAATCTAGAAAATGAAAAAGAATTTTAAAAAATCACTCCTACATAAATTGCCCTTGACATGGCCCACTTAACAGAGGAAACATGGCATTGACAGCACAGTGAAATGACTCTCAGTTCTCTTTGGAGGAGAATGGATCTTGATGAGAACACCTGTGGACTTAATCTTCTGTGCTTGGTACTAACTACACTCAGGGTCTGAGACCTGCCCTGCTCTTGGGACTGTCAGACATAAGTTGACTGCCCAAGGCAAATCCATGAGCATCTGTAAGTGCAAGAGAAATGATGAACAAGCGATTCTCCCCCAAAATGGTCCCTTAGTACACGCTGCACAACAGCTTCCTTATGTGAGGCCTGGAGCATGCGTGTGTTGGTAGTTAGTTGCTGTCCAGCTGGCTCTGGCCCATATGACACCTCATATATAAAGAAAGAAATGTGGCCCGGTCCCGGCCACCTTCACGATCATGGCTACACTCAAGTCCATGGTTGAGGCCACTGTGTCCATCCACCTCACGGAGGGGCTTCCTCACTTTAGCTGACCCGCCCCTTCACCAGCCATGCTGTCCTTTTCTAGAGACTGGACTTTCCTGATGATGTGTCCAAGGGAGCAAGACCAAGCCTCGCCGTCCCCGCTTCTAAGGAGCATTCTCTTCGTGTTTTTCTAAGACTGACTTCTTTGTTGTTCCCCTGGCAGTCCCTGGTGGACTCAGCGTTCTCCGCCAGCTCCGCAATGTCCATGTGTCGACTCTTCTTCTCTCTTCCTTTTGCATTGTCCAGCTTTCTCATGCATATGAGATCACTGAAAAGACCACAGCTTGGGTCAGGCACACTTCAGTCACCAAAGGGACATCTCTGCTTTTTAGAACTTTGAAGAGGCCTTTTGCAGATTTGCTCAAGTGATACCTCATTTCATTTCCTGGCTGCTTCCACGAGTGCTGACTGTTGACTCTAGCAGAGTAAGATCCAGCACCCATCTGTCAGCCTGTCGCCCCGTGGTGGCTTGTGTGTTGCTCAGATGCTGGAATCTTGGCCGTCAGAATTTCAAATCCCAGCAGGCTCGCCCACGGCAGACAGGTCTCAGTGGGCCTTCCACACCAAGACAGACCAGGAAGAATAAGAGCATGGGAACCCTTCAATCAGCTGTCCCCCAGAGAACATAGTTTAGGGGTGATTTTTTTGAACAGAGTTGGTGTAGATCTTTTTCTTTTGAAGATGTAAATTTCCTGATGATCTTCTCAAGGCCTGTTCTGTGTATTCTCATTGAGCAACGGTTTTGAGGCTTGCTGTCATCAGCCTGGCCAGACGCTTCGGGCTAGACCGGAAAGAAGCAGCGAGCATTTCTGAGTGACTGTAGCATGCCAGAAACTGTATGGGCACGCTGTCTTTCTACTTAATTTACACCTCAACATAATATCAAGGTGCTTCTACTACCTACATGGTTGGAGGAAAACCAACCAATAAAGCGGGTTTTGGGGAGTTCTGCTTCTTGCCCACAGGGGAAGGGCAGCCCCAGCCTGGGCACTGAAGGCAGTGCCATGCTCTGGAACAGAGACACTGGAGAGTAGCTGGCTCCCAGCCGGACAGTGAGACCTTTGACCCTCAGCAGGGGCCTTGGGCCTTGGCATAAACCACCGAAGGCAGGTTGGGAGGTGGACAATTTGGGGTCACTGGTGATACTATCCCAGGGCCAGCCATGCTTGAGGACGTTGTCCCTTGCTCAGCAGAACTGTATTTGGAGCCCTTTCTCTGCAACCCAGTGGACATTGTAGGCTACCAAGAAAATAAAAATGGGCCATGAGGGTTTTGGTGCCTTTCGTTCTTCCATTAAACATGATGCCCTACAATACCCAGCACCACCGTGCTCAGCTCAGAGGTGGGCTCTCCATGGTTCAGATGGCCCAGGGTCTCTAGGCAGCTTTCTTGGCTACCACAGCCAACCCCCCGCCAGCATGGCAGAATGAGGTGGGGTGGGGAGAGGCGCTTGCAGGCCTTTTCCTTGTTATTTTGTGGTGGTGAAAATGCATATAACAAAACATTTTTTACATGTACAGTTCAGTAACGTTGATTACACTCCTCATGCTGTCCAGCCAACCCCCTTCCAGTTCCAGATTATGCCACCACCACTAGCAGAAGCTCAGCGCCCCCCAGCAACACCTCTCCCCTCCTCAGCCCCGGTAACCACACTGGTCTCCATACCTTGGCCTCTTTCATCTCAGGGGATCAGACGATATTTGTCCCCTTGTGTCTGATCTTCACTCAAGCGTCACGCTCAAGGTTCATCCGTGTGTATTGAGGCTTCGTTTCTCTCTCTGCCTGGATAACACTCCATCGTATGGATGGACCACATTGTGTTTATCCGTATCTGTGTGTCAATGGCACTTGGGTTGTTTCCACCTTTGGGCTATGGTGGATAATGGTGCAATGAACATTGGGTAAATGCATCCATTTGCATTCTGATGCTTTCTAGACCTTGAGTATTTGGTGCAGAAGGTACGCACCCTGGATTGCAAACATCCGGTAATATTCCTTATTACACATGGGGCGGGAGGGGTTGGGTATTGCTTCTCCTTAATCTTTTCTGACAATAGAGAGCAAACAGGCACAGCTGCCAGACAAGGGTGGCTTCCAGTGGGCTTTGTCGTGTCCATGTTGCTCCTTCCCCAGCGAACAGCCATTCTCTGGGAAGTGCATGTGATCCATGTGCCCCACGCAGGAACAATAGATGTTAGTCACAGTCTGTTAACTCCGTCTGCTTCCCATGAGAAGAGGACTGTGACATGGCGCCATGGGGGGTGTGAGGCCCACGTACAAGCTTTTCCTAAGGTCTTTCATTAGCACCAAGGGAGGCACCCCTGGAAACCTCAGAAGCGGGGCTGTGTTAGTTAGTGTACCAGGGCCTTTGGACTCAGTGCTATGACTAAAGGCAGGGCACATGTGGCCCCGCATGGCCAGTGCTGTTCTCACCGTCTGTGTGTATGCACATGTGTGTATGTGCATGTGTATGCATGTGGGCATATGTGCATGTCTATGTGTATGTGTACGTGTGTGCACACCTGTGTGTGCATGTCTATGCATGTATCTGAATGTTGTGTGGATGCATGTGTGCACAGCTGTGTAGTGTGCATGTGTGGGCATGTGTGCATATGTACGTGTCTGCATGTGTGTTTATGTGCATGTGTGTACATGTATGCACACCTGTGTGTGTATTGTGCAGGCACCAGCTGGAGACTCCAGGACATTACTCTCATCTGGCTGCATTCTACGAGGACAAGAAAGGGGGTCTCCATGCTGGTCCGGGGAGAGGTGGCTGCCTGCCACCCGTCTACTGGCTGCCCTCCATCCACCGGTACATGTACCCTGAGATGAAGGTGAGGCCAGGATGCTCTCGTGGCATACCCTGTGGCTGATACAAGAGTACTGATGACTTTTTAGTTAATGAGGAACGTATGTTCGGGCTCTGCCTTTAGCAGAGTAGGACATAACACAGGTATTGGGTTATTTTATGATATATGGCTGGTTACCTTAAATCATGTGCTTTCTAGGAACTTAGGCATCATAATGCCAAGCTATGTGTAGGGGGCTGGCTGACAGAGGCATGTCGGGGGAGGCAAGTCTGAGTCTATTGGTTGCTTCAGGCCATCTCAAGCTGGACATTTGAATGAAAGGCAAAGCATTTGATGAACAGGTATGGGATTCTGTTAATTCTGATACTCTTTAATATTAATAAGGAGCTCTGGTGGCACAGTGGGCAAGGCATTTGGCTGCTAACCCGAAGGTGAGCAGTTCAAACCCACCAGCTGCTCCATGGGAGGAAGATGAGGCAATCTACTTCAGCCTTGGAAACCCAATGGGGGTCACTATGAGTTGGGATCAACTTGATGGCAGTGGATTTGGTTTTGGGTTTTTATTGTGCACTTTTTCTGAAGTACTTGATCTTTGGTATGAGAATGGGTTTGTTCACATTTAAGAAAACACCTGGCCAAGTAGGAGATGTTGGCAGGTAGAGGTAAGTCAGGACAGGATGCACTTCCTCACCTTGTCCTGCCTATGCCCTCTCACAGGCCTCATCAGTGGTGCCCAGGCCTGCCCCATAGAGGAATTAGGATGAGGGAGAAACTGGGGGAGGCATCTTGGGAGAGGAGTTGATCCCTGAGTGTTTGGCAAAGTGGAAAGTGTGGGGTGCTGACTCTAGCCCAAGTGCCGCCCCACCATTCTAGATGTGGTGGGGGCCTGCTGAGTCCTCGAGGCTCAGGGTTGGATGGCCCCTACAGGCCCAGCTGTAAGTCCCTGCCTGTGGCCTCGAGCCTACTTTCTCTCTATGTCCCACCTGCATCACCATGACACTAGGCCTTGCAAAAAGCCACGTGGCACTGAGCTTGCCACCTTTCTATTCCGTCAGGGGCAGTGGTGGTGGCTGCATGTTAGGTCAATATGTTTACTCAGTACCGGCACACCTCACATCTGGCTCAGTTCCAGATCACCACAATAATTCAAAAGTCGCAGTAAGGCAAGTCAAAGTCCTGCTTTCCCAGTGTATGTAGAAGTTATGGCCACGCTGTGCTCTAGTCCACGAGGGGTGAGCAGCGTGATGGAGAAGTCTGAAATACCGTGAGAATGACCAGAATGAGGCACCAAGACCTGGGGAGCACAGGCTGCCGGAAACACGGTGCCGATGACTTCCTTGATGCAGGGTCAGCACAGACCTTCCATCTGGAAAACACGCAGAGTGTGTGGGGCGCAGCAAAGCGAAGCACACTCAGGGGGACGCTGTGTTCTGTGTGGTCTCCCTTGTGGTCCTGACAGTAACGTGAGGCAGGTGAGAGTCTCCCCATTCTACAGGTTAAGGAAAGTGAACCAGAAACATGAAGGGATGTTGCCAGGGCTGCTGTCTTAGTAAGTGGCAGTGCCAGGATGGGGCTCCACCCTTCCAGGGACCAGAGCTCCTGGGGGTCTTTGCTCCAAGGAAGCTGCACTTGGGTGAGGTTCCTCTGTGGGTGAGCGAGGGCAGGGTTGGCATGTGCCAGGTGGCTGAGCGGAGATCTGGGCAGCACTGTACCCGGAACCTGCAGACACACCTGTCCCACTCCCTGCAGACTCGGCAACTAAGCGGGGGCTGTTGATTGGGTCATCACGTTGTCCGCCCCGTGCTCAGTCGTGGATCTGAGTTGACCTTTTGATCGAGGTGTGCGGCCACAGCAGACACCTGACAGGTGCAAAGCTACACTCAAGCTTTGTCTCCTTGGCATCTGTAAAGCACTTGTGAGCCACCATCGAGTCACCTCCCCCCATGGCAACCCCGTGCACAACGGAACGAAACACTGCCCAGGCCTGTGCTGTCCCCGTGACTGAGCGGGGCTGCGCCGTGGTGGTCCACAGGTTCCCACTGGCTGACCGGGGAAGTGGGTCCTCAGGCCTTCCCTCCTCATCCATCTCAGTCTGGAAGCTCCACTGAAACCCACCAGCGTCACAGCAACATGCGAGCCCCCACTGACAGACGGCCGGGGGCTGCACACGGGGTGCACTGGCCGGGAACTGAACCCAGGCCTCCTGCGTGAAAGGCAAGGATTCTACCACAGAGCCACCAACGCCCTAGTACCAAGCCAAAAAGCAAACCCACTGCCGCTGAGTCAATTCCAACTCATAGCGACCCAGTTGGGTTCCCAAGGTGGTATATCTTTATGGAAGTAGATCGCCCCATCTTCTTTCTGCTGAGCAAATGGTGGGTTTGCACCGCCAGCCTTCTGGTTAGCAGTCAAATGCCTTAGGCACTGCACCACCAGAGCTCCTTGTAAAGTACCCAGTGACCCCTAAATGCACACGTCAGCATACCCGGAGAGCTGTTGTATTCATTTATGCCCAGCTAACGGATAAGCCTTTTAAAGGGAAAAATACCATCTTCTGTGGCAGTAACCTCCCTTACTGCATCTGGTTGAGCCTGGAGTGTCTGTGGGGAGAGAGTTTGCTGTTGCTGCCTGTTGGGTTTCTGGCTGCTGGTTCCTCCCTCCTTGCCCACCTCCCGTCCTCTTTTCCAGATCACGCACCCAGCTGGCTGCATGTCCCAGTTCATCAAGTTCTTCGGAGAGCGGATCCTCACCCTCTGGAAGTTTGCCTTACTACGCAAGCGCATCCTGATATTCTCGCCCCCGCCTGTGGGCGTCGTGTGCTATCGAGGTAACCGGAAGCTGGCCAGGGGCTCTGTTGGGCTTCCCGGAGCGGGCACTGCAGGTCTTCCCGCTGTTGGCCAAGCTCGGAAGTTGCAGTCATTAGACGTCCTTGGGTTCGGATTTCAGAGTGTGGGCTCTGGTGGTGCTGTAGGAGATGGGTCAGGTGACAGCTCAGTGGTCTGGTGACAGATAAAGGACTTAAAGCAGACCATGGAGCCCAGATGCACCAAAGAGATAAAAATAAACCAAACCCACTGCAACCGAGTCAATTCCGACCCACAGCGCCACTAGAAGATAGAGTGGAACTGCCCCACAGGGTTTCCTAGGCTGTAAATCTTTGTAGGAGCAAAGCCCAAACCACACCCACTGCCCCGGATTCAATTCCGAACCACAGCACCCCTAGAGGACAGAGTGGAACTGCCCACAGGGTCTCCAAGGCTGTCAATCTTCACAGAAGCAAAGCCCAAACCACACCCACTGCTGTGGAGTCCATTCTGACCCACAGCGCCCCTAGAGGACAGAGTGGAACTGCCCACAGGGTCTCCAAGGCTGTCAATCTTCACGGAAGCAAAGCCCAAACTACACCCACTGCCATGGAGTCCATTCCGACTCTCATCTCCCCTAGAGGACAGAGTAGAACTGCCCTGTAGGGTCTCCAAGGTTGTCAGTCTTCACAGAAGCAAACCCCAAACCACACCCACTGCCGTGGACTCCATTCTGACAGCACCCCTAGAGGACAGAGTGGGACTGCCCCACAGGGTTCCCAAGGCTGTCAATCTTTACAGAAGCACCTCATCTTTCTCCTGTGGAGGAGCTAGTGGGTTCAAACCACTGACCTTTTGGTTAGCAGCCCAATGCTTTAACCTCCGTAGCACCAGAGCACATTTTATAAAGGCTAGAAGCAAGTGTGGGAGGACAGACTGTATGCAATGAAGGCTCTTCTGCTTCTGAAGCCTCTAAACCAATAATACTGTTGCCACGGAGTCAATTCCAACTGATTGTGAGCCTGTAGACTTAAGAGACAGACTTGAGGAAACCTGGTGTCTGATGGACTGTGAGGTTCAGAAATGTGAGGTTATAAAGGAGGAAGAGTCTGAATGACAAGATGGGGGGCTGCCAGAGAAGGGGCCCAAGAAGCGATAGGTGGGGGTTCACTTGGGATGTGAGGAGGGCGTGCCCCATGAGCTTCCTAGGACAATGTCCACAAGGCACCTACATGCTTGGGTCTGGACCTTTGGGCTGAGGTGTAAGATTCCAGGCTGTCCCATAGATGGCAGTGATGGCTGTGGGGCTGGAGAACACCGTGGCGGGACTGAGTGAGCAGGGGCGTGCTGGTGAGGTAGGACGGGGGAGAGCCGGAAGATGCTGGGGTACAGAAGCCAAGCAGGGTGGGCATTTGGAGAAGCAGGAGGTCAACAGTGTCAGCTGTGAAGCCAGGCCTAATGAGACAGGCCAAACACTGTCTCCTAGACTCAGCAAGCACACTGTGGGTGACCTTGGAGACAGCTCCAAATGCAACGCACTGCCATCAAGTCAGATCTGACTCCTAGGGACCCCTCCCTGGGTTTCCGAGGCGGTGTCACTACGGAAGTAGATTGCCCAACCTTCCTTCTGAGGAGTGGCTGGTGGGTTTGAACCGCCAGCCTTCTGGTTACCAGTCAAATGCCTTAGGCACTATGCCACCAGCGCTCCTAAGCCCCTTTCGCCTCAGAGTACAGGACATCTGGTCACTCAAGTGCCGGGGGGCTGAACACACACAGAAGGCACTGGCCCTGGGTTGCGAGAGCGGGAGGTGGGTGCAGGGCTGAGGCCCCCGCTTCTCCGTGTCCACAGTGTACTGCTGCTGCTGCCTGGCCAATGTCTCGCTGCCCGGCATCGGGGGGGCCATCCCCGAATCCAAGCCTTTCTTCTACGTGAGCGTGGCCGACATCGACAGCCTGGAGGTGGAGGTCTCCTACGTGGCCTGTGAGGAGCCGCCCCTCCGCCGCACTGCCACGGCCTCACCCCAGGACCTGCTTCCCGCCCAGACCTGGCTCCCTTGTCCGCTGGGGCTGGGCCAGCACCCTCCCTTGTCCCCTGGGTCAAGCTGTGGTCTTCCTTGTCCCCCGGGTCAGCCGGCGCCCTCCCTGTACCCTGGGCTGGGCCAGTACCCTCCCTGGCCCCCAGGGTCTGGCCGGCGCCCTCCTTGTCCCCCTGGGTTCAGCCGGCACCTTCCCCATCCCCCGGGTCGGCTGGCGCCCGCCCTGACCTCCACACTGACCTTGGCTTTCCCAGGCACCACTGAGAAGATCTTCGAGGAGAAGCATGAGCTGTATGATGTCTACGTGGACAACCAGAACGTGAAGACGCACCACGACCGCCTGCAGCCCCTGCTGAAGATCAACAGTGCCGACCGGGAGAAGTACCGGCGGCTTACGGAGCAGAGGTGAGCACGGGGCGAGCCTGCTGTCCACGAGGTGCTGGGCCGTGGGCGCGGGGGCCACCTGGGCGGAGGAGCGGGTGCCTGCATATGGGGGCCACGGGATGCATGGGCAATGGGCCAGGGAACGTGAGGCCCTGTGAGGAAGGGCGGTGACCTGCCCAGATGCTCGATGAGTCGGGCACGTGACGGGTGTGCCCTGGAGCCTCGCTCATGCCTCTGCTCACACGATCCCCCAAAGTGGCTTCTCCTGTGAATGACAGGGTAGCCCCATCCCCATCCCCATCCCGTAGACAAGGAGGGAAGATCGTCACATGCCTGAGGTAACTCAGGGCAGAAGTGGCCCTGGCCCCCGGGTTTGCTTCCTGGCCCCTCCTTTCCCGGCCTTTGGAGGTTGTGGGGACAGCTGCTGTCTCCTGGCCGGTGGCCTGGTGGGGCTGGGGTCCTATCGCTGTTGAGTCTGACCGGCCCCTCCACAGGCAGATGCTGCTGTACTCCCAGGAGGTGGAGGGGGACTACAACCCGTGTGAAGAGGACCTCTTCGTGCTGTGAGTCTGCGGGCTGTGGGCCTGCACTGCCTTGACACCCCCGAGCACAGTCCAGGGGCCCTTGACGGCTGCCAAGGGCTGGCTCTGCAGTCCCTCTGACACTGAGATGCCGCTGTGGGAATGGGGGGGGGGGCACTGCCAGGAGCAGTTAGACGGTATCTGGGTGCCTGGGGGAAGTTAGGAGGCAGCCCAGGGCCGCGAGGCATTGTGGGACAGCCCGGCACTGAGGAGTTGGGGGACTTCTGGCACTGGGAGGAGATGGGGGACGTCCAGGTACTGGGAGGAGTTAGTGGGTGTCCCAGCACCAGCTTTCTTCTTAAAATATTTTTTAAACGATTTCAAGTGCCCTGAACAGAGCAGCCGTCTTGGTCCCGTAAGGATCTGGGGACGAGTGCTTTGTCCTGTCTTCCCGCCCCTTCCCGGCCCCTTCTTGCCGATGCAGGTTTTTCCTCGAGCAGAACAACCGGATATTCCAGACACTGCTGGAGGTGTCTGCAAGTCAAGACAAGACGCTGACAGCAGAGCATGCCCGGGGCATGGGCCTCGACCCTCAGGGGGACCGGGGCTTCCTCCTGGACCTGCTCGAGGCCTACGGCATTGACGTCATGCTGGTCATTGACAACCCCTGCTGCCCGTAGGCAGGGTGAGTGAGGACCGGCAGAGCAGCCTGGGGTTCAGCTGGGCCCCAGGGGCCTCATTTTCTAAGTTGATACAAAGGAATACTGTTTATATTTCCAACAAATGTACTTTTGGCAACTTCCTTTCTTCCCTCCTTCTCTGGTGGCAAGACAAGGTTATCTTGGCTTCCTGTCCTGTTTTGGAGGACACTGGAATCTACCACTTTCTCCCAAGAGCCAGGGTGCTCTGGGCCTGGTTGGTCTTAGGAGTAAGACTGGTCTCTCTCTCCTCTTGGTGAGGACCTTGGGAGTCACGGTGAAGGCCACGCATCTGTAGGAGGGCAGTCAGCCCTGGAGACATTGGGACGGATGGTCAGGAAGTCTGTGTCATCTCTGTCTCCTGAAGTGCTGAAGAATGAGACACATGGCCTTAGATGGACCTCTGCCCAAAGGCCGAGGTAGACCAGATGACCGCTTGAGGTCCTTCCCAGAACTGTGAGTCTACAGCCTTGGGGTCATGTTGCTTTCCTGCTTGTTGTTGTTGTTATGTGTCGTCGAGTCAGACCCGACTCATAGTACGCCTCCTTGGGTTTCCAAGGTGGTATCACTATGGAAGTAGACTGCCCAACCTTCCTTCCGAGGAGTGGCTGGTGGGTTTAAACCGCCAGCATTTTGGTTAGCAGTCAAGTGCCTTAGGCACTATGCTACCAGAGCTCCTGCTTTCCTGCTTACTGGCCAAATCTAAGTCTTCTCTGTTCACTGGAGTGAAGACCTCAAAGAGGGACCAATGGTGTTTCCGAGGCCAAGTGTGAGCTTCTCTAAGGAAGCAGTGACAGTCAGCTGAAAATGGAGATCGTTGAAAGAAGTCTCAAAAGCCTTCCCAAGTGAGTCAGTGTTGGCCACCCAATGTGACAGTCCTTGCTGTCTGACTCTAACCCTTGAGGGCCAGTGCTGGCCCAGGAGCTTGCAAGCAAATCCATCTCCCCATTGGATTCCTTCGATTCTGCACATCCTCTTGGAGTCAGCTGGGTATCGTGAAGGGTAGTGCTCATTGCCACCGCGGGACAGGGTGGTGGCGGCCCAAGGATGGAGGTGACGTTTATTCACCTGGACGACAGCTCTCTGGTGGCACTGCTTGCAAAGTCTCTGGACCAAAACAGATTGCCTAGATTCCAAAACCCAGCAAAGTAGTCAAGTCAGGCTGAGGTATGATGCTAACAAGACTGTTAACCATTTGGGCTCTCCACCCACCTCTAAGTAATGGGAGCCAGAGACCTAGCAGATCGTTTAGAGAGAAAATATGACAGTGCCTTCTGCTGGCACGGTGGTCAGAGAGCCCGAGTGTCACCTGTTCCCCAAGGAAGTGTTCTGCTCTGGGCTGGTCCAGTTGCATCCTGCTTGGTCTCTGGCTGGGTGCTGATGGACGCCATCTCTGGTGAGGTAATCATAGTCAGCCGCTCTAGGGGCTGTACAGCTTACATTTTTGCTTCAGGATCTTGACCCGGGATTCTGGGTTGCTGGTTGTTCACAGATGGCTTCTCTCCATTCATGCTTCCTGCCACTCTGTGGGGGAACCAGCCCTCCACGTGTCCACATCCATGACCAGGCACCAGCCAGGCTCACGTGCACAGCAGAGTAGTGGCTCTTACCTGGACAGCTCCCACAGTTTACCAAGACTGGGCTCTCAGGACTTTTTTTCAAGGAGCTCTGGTGGTACAGTGGTTAAACAATTTGGCTGCTAACTAAAAGGTGGGCAGTTCAAACCCACCAGCTATTCCACAGCAGAAAGATGAAGCAGTGGGCGTCCATAAAGATTGAAACCCTGTGGAGCAGTTCCACTCTGTCCTCTAGGGGCCCTGAGTCAGAATCAACTCCACGGCAGTGGGTGTGGTTTGGGTTTTGCTTCTGTGAAGACTGACAGCCTTGGAGACCCTGTGGGCAGTTCCACTCTGTCCTCTAGGGGCGCTGTGGGTCAGAATGGACTCCA